CTGAATTTGTTGTTGCTTGTGTGATAGAAGAGCCAGATCATCTGTGAAGTCTAAATCGTCCAGCTGCATCCTAGTTGTCCAATGTATTCAATGCTTCTCCCCCTTGAGATGTTTGAAATGATATTATTAATTACCTTTCGTATTACCTATCACAGACCATTTTAACACAATCAAATATAATATTCATGTTAAATAGTCATACAATTGTGAATTTATTTTTAATTCATTTTAATAAATAATGTAAATAACAAGTGTATGTTAGAAAGTATCAAGTTTAGTCTTTCCATAACCTTGAAGAGATAAGCAGCAGTGAAGGTACAGGTTAATCTTTTCAAGATTATTGAAAGATTAAACTTGATAAAATTCATAATTTTATGACTATTTAACATGAATATCATAATTGATTATATATTAAAATGGTCTGTGATAGGTAATAGAAAGGGTAGTCAACAATATCATTTCAAATAAGATTATTAAGTCAATCTTGGTGTGAACATCAACTCTGTGATGCAGGCACATCTAGTTGACCAGTCCAAAATGGGATGAAACGCACATCCTAGATTCTACTGTTAGCCATTATCCGTCTTTGCTTATAAAGCTTGTGAATTAAGGCAATATCGAGGCAGTCCACACAGGTTGCACATATTCTAATAAGAAACTGATCAGTTGTAGTCCCAAACAACAATGGGAAGATACAAGCAAAGAATATCAAGTGTATTAAATCATTTCAGTATTGATTTATATTGACAGTTAGTTAGAAGGATGTTACAGGCTAACCGAATTATAGATATGAGTCTTAACATTCTATCGTGATGATCAGGTGAATCTACTTCCTTGGTGACTACCTAGAACAAATAGTCTAAATAGAGAGCAGAATATATTAGTACTAACAGGTTATAGAAGTACTAGACGAAACCACAGCCGAATGAGCCTGTCCATAGCGTTTAGTTGAATAACGTGCATTAACTGTTTTTGTTTTTGAAAAAGACTGGTAAGCTGTTTGACATTTAGTGAGTTAGATGTTTTTGTGAGGACACACTGACACTGTCCCTACATTCTGCCTTCAGTAGATACGGTTCAACTTCATCTGCTATTTGGCTAGAACTCAGAAATTTCATTAGTATTGTAGTGAACAGAACACTGGTTGGGGACAATCGAATGTATTTAAGCAAACATTACAGACTATCTCAGTAAATTCTGAAAACCATACAATGGGCAGTCAATTTGCAAATTAACAACCAATAGTCCCGATCTTCACTGTTTCTTCTCTAATTCCATTGTTCGTGCATTTTCCTATCGATTGCGCTTTTTCAGTTCTTTCCTCATCGGTCTTCTGCCAAAATGCATTCTATGTCTGATCAACACTAAATGCTACTTATATGGATATCAGTAGACCACACCACAGTATTGCAACTCTGTTTCCAGCCAATGTTAAAACAAAACCAAAAACTCTCTTCTACAGTCCTTCCTAATAGTCCATGGAACAACTATATCCCTGATTATGTACAACAGGATTAAAAAGTTTTCTTCAGCCGAGTAGCCAGTTTCAGTTTCAGTTCGGAAAGGGCAGGAAGCTTGATGGCCTGTGTTAGTACTGGCAATGATAGTCTTTCAGCTGATCCAACGTTCTTTTGAAGGAGTCGACGGATAGAGCCTCAACCACGTGCTGAGGTAATGAATTCAACTGGTTGACGATTCGATGGGAATGTCGATAGTCAGCTGACAAGTAATTCGTTCTGGGCTTGTGAACTTTTCGGAGTGTCCTCGTAAATTTTCCGTTTTGGAAGACAAGAAAAATAGGGGTATATCAGGTGCAAATATATCACTAGGCAATTTGAAACATGCAATCAAGTCGCCTCTGATTCTTCCATATGACAGTGGGAATAGGTTTAACTTGGTCAATCTAGTATCATACGGGAGGTACGCTATTCCAAGAATCAGCTTAGTTGCTGTTCTCTGGACCCTTTCCGTGAGTTCACTGTCTTTTTTTAGGCAGGGGCTAGCTGCTTGTACGTAGTACTCAAGTTTGGGATTCACAAACACTGTATACAAAGTTAGAAACGTTTTAGCGTCGAGATGACTAAAAACTATACGTATGGTTATATATGTACGTAAAGTTATAAATCCTTTGGCGGCTATTGCACGGCAGTGTGCAGTAGTCTTTAAGTCTTGACTAACGATGACTCCTAAGTCATTGTGTTTTTGTTTTTGCCCGTTCCAACTATTGAAGTACTGGCTGTCGATATTTGCAAATTACGAACCCGAGTAGTCAAGAGGACCAAAACTCCAAATTTGATACCAAGTTTATTCGTAATTCACAAATAATCGACCAAAGTCGTTCTAACAACAATAATTATAACAATTACAAAACAAACCTTCAATTTTGTAGGTTCCCGGAGCAAAAACTCCCAAATAACAAACCAATGACAAAAGAAACCCAAATGTCCGAAAAGAATGATATAAACAAACAAGTCCAAAGGTTAAGTAAAACAAACACATCCAAAAAACACAGTAAAATTGATGTACATAAAAAAAGGTTTTAATCATCCAAATGTCTTCACTTCTCCCGTAACAATTGTGTGTCTGGACAATAAGTAACTCAGTGTTATTCATCGTGTATGTATCTGTACCCTGGTGGCCAATATGCATCACAATACACTTGGAAGTGTTTATCGGCAATTTCCAGGTTTGGGACCATTCAGATAATCTCTCCAGGTCATTTTGAAGTTCTAAGCTACCACCCTTATTTGTATCACTCTACATATATTGACATTGTCAGCATAGAGCAATACTGATGACGATAGTAGACGAGGGAGGTCATTTACGTACAGGAGGAATAACAATGGCCCTAAAACTGTACCCTGGGGGACTCCACTAAGCACAGTGTCCCAGCTAGACAATTTGAAGTTCACCCTAACTCTTTGTTGACGCCCAACTAGAAAGTCTTTCATCCACATCAATAGATTGCCTCCAATCCCGACATTCCTTAGCTTATATAACAGCCGGTTATGCGGAACCTTGTCGAAAGCTTTTCTGAAATCGATGTAAGCTACGTCTACAGGTAACTTTTGGTCCTTAAGAGCGCACCAGTTTTCACGAGCGACTAATAAGTTAGTGAGACAAGAATAACCTGTTCTAAAACCATACTGCCTCTCCGAGAGGATCCGATTTTCATCGAGTTACTTAAACAGCTCCTTCCGAATGATCTTTTCTAAGATTTTAACAACCACACTAGTTAGGCTAATTGGTCGGTAATTCTCAGGCTTATGTTTTGTTCTTGTTTTGAAGTCAGGACTTACTATGGCGTTCTTTCAGTCTTTTGGTAGACGACCCTGGGTTACGGATGGATTAAAACATATACTTAATGGGTTCGCAACAACGTTAGCTAATTCCTTTAGTAACCTAGAGTGCAGTTCATCGGGTCGCGTGGATTTGCCTATGTCAAGCTTACTTAGCAGACCAAAGACATCTAGTCCTTTAACGGTCATGCTGTCCAGTGTTTGTGTGTGTGGGGGGTGTAATGGACTAGTGGGAAGGGTGTTTTATTGTATAAACATTACGAAAGTATTTTGAGAATACTTGAGCTTTGTTAAAGTCATCCTCCACTTATGATGAGACAGTACCGTCTCCTCATAGTGAAGGAACATTTCTTCTTCTTTTCGTCCTTTGGTTTATATACGAATACAGGCGTTCAGGACATTTTATGGATTCCTCAACAATTTTCTCTTCGTACAGCTTTCTGGACTTACGGAGGGTCGAGGCACAGGTATTTCGAGCCTTTTGATACTGAGATTTTGCCTCGTCAGTCCACAGTAACCTAAATCTATCCCACATTCTCCTTCTTTTGAGGAGAAGGACGCGAATCTCCCTACTGAACCATGGCGGTGAGTTTCTCGGTCTCTTAGGTGTAGTCCAAGGGATGTGGGGGCGGTAGCTTTTAAGTATAAATTTCAAAATACGTCCCAAGCCGTTTCAATTGAGGACTCTGGGTCTATTGTCCAATCTACTGATGATGCTGAATGAATGATGTCTTTTATGTTTGCCTTCCAGACGTTAGGTCTGGATTGAGCTGAGGCGTGCTCGTGATCGACATTTAGATGGGAGTCAGTGGTTAAAATTGCATGATCACTTTTGCTCAGAGGTGACACGTAATCCAGGTTCGCAGCGTCATCTTTGTAGTGATTCAATATAAGGTCTAATAAGGATGATTCAGAGCAAGGGTTGTACCTTGTCGCTTTCACGTGTTACACTAGTGCACATGTGATTACCGCATCAACTAGTTCCTGTTTGAAGAAATTTGCTGACAATTCAGTTCACAGATTCTCCTAGTCTACCATGAGTGCATTAAAGTCCCCTAAGATTAGAAATCGACCACTTCGTAACCAAGTGTTGAGACTGCTTAGCAGGACCTCATTTACCTCACAGCTTGGACTGCGATAGATAAAACTAAGCTGCAACTCTTGTCCCCTGCATTTCAGGCGGCAGCAAACTAATTCATGCGTCCCACACCCACGGGATACACTGTCAATAATGGTGAATGGAATAGCATTCCTAATGAATGGAGCTATCCTTCCCCCTTTACGCTTTTGTATTCTGTCGACCCTTACCAATGTAGAACCCCCGAGATCAAGTTCCCTACTATCTATAGACTGCGTCAGCCAATTTTCTGTGACTGCGATTATGTCTGACTTAGTAGAGTTAATCTGTACACCTAGTTCCGATTGCTTATTGAGCAAGCTCCAGACATTGGTGTAACAGATCTGAAGCCTATTTAAGTGACCTCGTGCTTCACCCAGAGTGGCTTCTTCATCATCCTCTGTCGAAGCCTCACAACCCATCAGGTTAAGCTAAGCAATAACAAAGGTCTGGAAGAGATTACTAAATACGAGGCGCCAAAGCCAAAAAGACAGTATATCACAAAGTTATTGGAGATTGTACAATTCACGTTAATTCTCGCGCGCTCAATCTACGGGCAACTAACTTGGCTCTGATTGGTTTCCCCATACTTCTGTGAAGGACGGTAATGCATCATTTATTTGACAGTTGGTTTTCCTTTTTGTTGGGATCACGAATGTGTAGTAGTCTTGAGTATGCGGGTTCTCATATGAAAATCCAAGAATTCTCCCTGTTAGGACTAGGAACTAAACCCTATGCTCTGAAAAACACCTATTTTGCACTACATGATGAAGTATATACTTCGTAGGTCGTCAACGTCGGTGATCTGTGTCGATGATTTGGGGCTTAGTCTACCTGGATAGGAATGGCGTGACCTCCCAGCTTACTTAAGTAAGCTTTTCGAATTCGAAATCAGATCTCGCGGTTCATACTTAACGTTGACTACCCTTCAGTCTTATCCAGGTACTAGTACCTGGGAGTCTCATCAGCCCTTGTGGTCTAGTGTGTAACAAAATCTCAGTACAGATACAGAAGGCTCGTCTAGCTTTCGCCAACTTGTGTCATTTATGGCGTAGGCGACCAAAGGACGAGTTTACTGAGCGGCAGTTCGTTCCGTCCTACTTTATGGCAGTGACATATAGACGTTAGGAATGGCATGGCTCAAAATCGTATGTAACGGGGAAGTTGCATCCACTCTTTGCGTTCTGCCAAATTCTAATCTGAATTATTCATGTCCCTTTCTATTTTCAAATTTATTTCACTGGGTTATACTGCTTGAATAACATCTTCAAACCCTAATCTGTCGGGTTACTGCTTATACTCTTACTACTTCTACCACTATGGTATTTGGATCGACAACTGCATCTCTGTGCTAATGTGGTATGGCAAATCGAACTGATGGACATACGTACGAAGTTCTACATTGTGACTGACTGAGGGTAATATGAAAAAGTTTGACTTTCTCAACCATTCAGATAATCCAATTATCTCCTAGATTATGTAAGCAGCAGTCCTCTCCACTATTTTCAGACGCTTCAGATTTCAACTTCTTTATTTCGCTCTTTCTGTTCAAACCATGTTCTCAATGTTAAGTTTTGGTATCAGTAATACTAATATTATTTCAAATTCTTTGTTATTTACCTTGCCAATTTCATCTCTCTTTGTTAATATGATGTAACAGTTCAGGTCAATGCATATTTATTCGTAATCATACTTTTATTATGACTCGCTGGGCCGTTTCATTCCAATGCAAATACGTACAAACAGCATGTAATTGATCAGTGATAATTCAGTGTAAATTTCTCTGTCCAACAGGACCCGAATAGCTCAGGTTTCTTCATGACATGTGGTGGTCAGTTCGAACTATAAGAGTAGTATCGTTACCCTCAAGAATCCAAATATGTCTTGCTAATGAGTAACAGCCAGCACAAAGTTCAAATTTAGGAATTCCTGCTAATTACCTCCAATCTAATAATAGTTTGTAACCATCTGCTTCTTCTTAGTGCAGGTTAACATTTTTCAACACTTCCTAAAAAAATAGCAAAATCATACAGTTGATTCCGGTTACGTGAAACATGACGTTATATTAAACTTTTTACTTCATGTTTCCTGAGTTTCAGTAAAGCAGACTTTAGTAATATTAGTGTTACGACGTAGTTGTTTACGTGCTTATTTTAAACTTCTAATTTAGATGGATACTGCTGAAATTCTACTCTCACAATTTCCGAATCCTCAACATCCATATGTTGCTAAAAGTGGTGCTTGTTCTTGGAAAGCCTGCCAAAAGTGGGATCTGCATTATCTGTCAGGGAAAATAAAAAGTAACTTGAAATTTCGTCTGGCTAAAAGGGAAAGTATCGAAGTACAGTGGGAGACATCTTGTTCGTCTGTTAATGCAACATTAGCAGAATTTAACGAGTGGATAAACAGAGTAGACAGTATGAGTAATCCTTTTTCTAAGTACCCTAAAGAATCTTGGTGTGCTTATGCCGATTACATATATATGAATCAATCACCTGATTTTCAAGGTTTAGTCGAAGATTTATCATTTCAAGAATTGTTCCCGTTCCTAAAAAGTAATATCAGTCCAACATTTTGGCTCGGATCGTCTAAAGCTCATACTATTTGTCATCGAGATACTTACGGAGTTAATCTGGTTGTACAAATCAAGGGATCCAAACGCTGGATATTATTCCCACCTTCGGATAACCCATATATGTATGAAACTCGATTGCCTTTAGAAGAATCTACTGTTTTTAGCAAAGTTAATTTCACATTACCCAACTGCAAAAAACATCCTCTCATACTAAAAACAACCCCTTATCCTATAACACTTTATCCAGGCGATCTTCTTTTTGTCCCAAGAAATTGGTGGCATTTTGTTGAATCATCATCTGAATATGATTTTACTTGTTCAGTAAATTTATGGATTGACCAACCTTCACTTGATAATAAAGTACGCCTTAGAGAATGTCTCACACAATTAGTCGGCTTCTCTTTATTATCTAGTTGTGATGTTAGTGATCATAAAGTTTTATTACATCCATCTGAACAAGTAACATATGAAAATAAGTTTTGGTTTAAAAAACTATTGGATTATCTGCATATACTTTTTCATCAAAATCCAAATGAATCATCTTCCAAAGAAGAGGAGAATGTAGAAGAACCTCAAAAACAAGCTAGATTTTCTAATATTATCAATTGGACACCTTTAACTTCAGAAAAGCTAGATAGTTTATTTACTATTTCACAGGAAAATGCCACATCCGATGTTGTTAATGCTCCTAACTTCGAACAGATTGTAGATGCATTCATGAAACCTGATGTTATTGAATTAGTTGCAAAATACCTTGAAAAAGATGTTGTAAATAAAGATTTGTAAATAAGAAGCATTTGCTTAGTTCTTTTCTTTTATGCTACACCTTTTATTCGCCATTGTTCATTCATTTCTCATTTATTTTTAGGTAGATAATTATATAACTACTTCATTGTTGTGCAAATGCAAGCATGTCCATTAAATTCCAAAGATTTGTTAAAATTACGATGTCGATTTCGTACTGGACAGTATACTTTGAATGATTTAACTTCTGATTCAACTATTGATGAACTATTGCAAACAATTACTTCACTTATAGGTGTTACACAATCTCGTATATCACTTTATTATGGTTATCCTCCAAAAAAGTTGGATTGTAGCATTTCAAGTCTTAGTAAGCATCTTTGGGAGGTTAGTCGTATAACCTTTTTAAAAAAAGTTCGTCTATACTATATTCTTTTATGATCTATAACTTTTCACCTAACGTGCAAATGACTCTCCTTACTGGCAGGTCTATACACAATCAATGTTTCGAATACACAGGACGAGTTTGGTTTGAATTCTGTTAGTTTCAAAGGGCATTTATCACTCCCTTATTGCCTATGTCTTGGGAGAATAATTATTCCTGAAAAGCAGACTGGGTTACGGGTAGCCTTGAGGTGTGACTAAAGATCTAGAGACAACTACTTGATGCAAGCCACATACAACCTTTTTATAGACAGTCTTTGATGCATTACATTTGCACTTTATAGGTCTTATCTTCTTCACCGATAATTTTTGGAGAGAAGTTATGTGTTTTATTTTTAAAATCGACATTTTCTAATTGCTTCCACCAGTCAGTCAGCTACAACGTAGGACCAGGCAAACATATGCATCGGTCCAAGTTGCCATACCTCGTTAGCACAATAAGATGAACACCGGATTCATAGAAATAGTTAACTTAATGGTGGTAGTATATAAAGAAAGGTTGTATATAAGGATATAGTATACGAGGGAGGACAGATATGAAGCAATTTTAATCTTAAGTTTTAAGGAAAGATAGAGTGTATACACCTACGCCATTGTGATCGATTCTGAGCCATGTCACACAGAGTCTCCAACCATTGGTTACGATAGTCACGCAGACCCCAACCAGGTAGTCTGCATCCGCCAACATGGCTCAGACTACAAGTTAGTGACTTCAAGCTCTGATGCCAGCATTTGGTTTGGCCGCCCCTAACTATCTTCCAACCATCGCCAATACTAGTCAGCACTCTATCTTTCCTTAAACCTTAAGATTAAAATTGCTTCATATCTGTCCTCCCTCGTATACTATATCCTTATATACAAACTATCTTTTATATACTACTACCACTAAATTAACTATTTCTATGAATCCGGTGTTCATCTTGTTGTGCTAACGAGGTATGGCAACTTGGACCGATGCATATGTTTGCCTGATCCTACGTTGTAGCTGACTGAGTGATTTCAAAGTTACTTGCTTCCCTATTCGATATGACTTTCATAGTTTAAACTATTGATTATCAATCATTGCTTTTTGACTGTTTGCAATTCTTATAACCCCCCAAATGCACGTTTATATTACTGTAATGTATACATCTTTGCGAAATTGTCAATACACTTAGTGTACTATAATCTAGTCTAATAATAAAAATCTTATTTAAAAAAAATAATATTTGAATACTTAGATCCCTATTCGTTCGGGTGACATGCTTACTGTTGATGTAACAGAAGAAAAACCAGCGAACGTCAATTCACAAAATGTAAAACTTCAATCTCATAAACATGAAATAATCTCTAATAAACAATCTGAATCACATATTGTTCGATTATCTGCACCATCTGATAATTCTTGTCTATTTACAAGTGTTCTTTTCTGTATGAATAATGAAGATAATCATTTAAAAATTGGTACAAAAGTTGTAACAAATATTGCTGAAGTCAGTAATTTAAGAGAATTAATTTCTGGTATTGTGTTAAGTGATCCAATCAAGTATTCTGAAGCATTCCTTGGGATGTCAAATGAACAATATTCAAATCAAATTAGACAAGTAAGCAAATGGTGATGTTTGTTTTTGTGAATGCTTTGCTTGTTCACTTTTTTTGTCTTTCATACATGAAGTTGTGGAGTGACAGCACACTGACTAAACCATTTGGTTTCGAACTAGTAGGCTACAAGCTCCAGACATATCCCACCGAACTTAGTATGGAGAGAGCTAGGTAGTATCACTAGCTCCCTCACCGCCTCGTGAGATGTTGGCTGGTATAAGAGTACGATAGAAGAAAGCTAGGGTGACCCATACGTAACATGAGTTTACAAAGTCATGGACAATCGAAATGAACCATGTAGGTAGGTGCGGACTACGTGGTTGAGTTCGTACCATTATCGTAACTAATGATTAGAGACTTTGAATGACCTGGCTCGATATTGTTTGCAGTGGTACAGGTGCATTTATCTTTTCTTTTATTTTAGCTCTTGAGTCCCAAAAATCTTATACTTTTCATACCTAGTCTCTTTCTATCACAACTAATACTATTATTACTTCTGGTATTGTGGGATTTGAGGCTATAATTTCATCTAGCTGTGTGAATGCAGTGTAGCAACTTGAACCTACGTGCCTGATTTTATTTTTGTATTTGTTTATTTATTTAAACACAGAAATATTGGCACAAGGAAACACCAGAAATATATGCGCCACACAAATCTCATTTCATTTGTATGAAGGCTGTAGTACTGCCCAGCTTCTAGTCTCCCCAACTTTCAAACGTTCTTTCATCACTAACTTCAAGAAGGTTTCTTAGCTGTATGACGAAAACACTGTGCAATCAATACTGTGGTCTTTCAAGGTGTATTTTTAGGCGTAGTGGGAATAGTTGAAAGCGTGAGTCAATTGAAGCTAGACCACCGAGCAAAACCTGGAAGCACTGGACGGCCGTTTCGTCCTATTGTGGGACTCCCCAGCAATGCGCATCCACGACCTCGCCTCGCGAGATTCGAACCCAGGACCTACCACTCTCGCACCAGTGGTCTAAATTCAATTGAATCACGCTTTCAACTATGAAAAGACTAAATCTCCACAAAACCCTTTCTGATCATAGTAGTGAAAATAGACGTAAAAAACAGTATCAAAGTGTTGATCACTTCATATATATATACATTTTAAAAAGTAGTTGCCATGTTTCTTCTTGTGAACTGTACCTTAATTGATCATGTGATAGTTGTTCCTATGTTTTGTAAGTACTATCATATGACATCGCTCCACTTACGTCACGTTCCAATCAACATGTTAGCTACACACAGTACTAGTAGCATCTTTACCATCCTTTCTTAAGATCACCATTCACCTAAAAACTTTGTATTCCTTATATAGTAACTCAATCGATTTTTGTTTAATAATGAGCTTAGTAATAACTTAAGGTAACATTTCTATTTGTTGTTATATTTTAAGTAACCTTAAGTTAGTTAATCCATACTCAAATAACTGGCTCTCTGTTCTTTTTGTACGGTATACCTTAATAAATAATATGGCATCACTGTATTATAGTCTAATTGTTAGTTTTGTTTACACCTCTGTTCAACTGTTCTTTGACTCTATCTGATAGCGGTAGGATGTAAATATTTTCTGACTGACTACAAAAATAATAATAAACAAAGCGTACTGGATAATATCTATTATGAATTGTTGAGTGTTTAATTTGTGTGTACTTTTAATTCAAAGTACTAATGATTATGAAGTTTTCTATACACGTTTGGCACACAAGTTAGTGTCCTCGAAAAGGCCGATAAGATAGGCTTCACTTGCCTTCTGAAGAGCAGAAACTGCCGAACTTTGGAAACATAGGGCGGTCTTAAAGTCCTGCGCAATCTCCTGTACCAAACGCTGGAAAGGTAATTTACAGATGAACAACTCGGTCGATTTTTGGTAACAACGAATCTCACGTAGGGCTACTGTTCCAGAACGATATCGATGTGGTTTTTTAACACCACTAGTAGCTGGGGCACTTTTTCTCGCCGCTTTAATGGCTAACTGCTTCCTGGGTGCCTTATCACCTGTACTCTTGCGAGCAGCCTGCTTCGTGTGTGCCATGACTGTGTCCCCGAATGTCCTCGTACGGTCGACAGTGGGGAGAGTCCGCTCTCCCTCTCGAAATGCTCTCACATGAACACGCGAGTATATAGCCTCTGCCAGGGAAGTCCTACTCACTGCCTTCTCGAGGCGAAGTCTTGTTTGCGAAATTGAGAGCACGAAAAGCGAATATCCAGCGCTTTAACTGAGTTAATGGACACGAATAGTCCACCTAGGGGAGTTGGAAAACCCTGATTCCGAACCAATCGTGCATATGGGTTCCAGTATCCTGATGGAATTAATGGCGTATGAATCAATCGTTGATCACCGGCTACCATGTTACTGTATCTCCTCACGATGCTCCACTGTCTTGTGGATCAGACCTTTAGGTCAAAGGCTGGGGGGGGGTGACCCCCTGAGAAAACCATTTGCTTCGGTTTGGGCACGTGAGCAGTATCACAGCCCTCACACAAATCAAATGAGATTTGTTTGGCCCATATATATCTGGTGCTTCATTGTATCAATATTTGTGTTTAAATATACAAATAAACAAATATTCTTCTTCCACTACTAAATTTATAAATTCATCTATAATAAATATTGTTAAGAGATTACACACAGGTATATACCTTATTGTAATCGTGAAAAAAAAATTCCAGTACTTAGAACAAGTAAATGATTCACGAGTGGATCTAAGCTAAAATACTACCGAAAACCTAGAAGCACTGGACGGCCGTTTTGTCTTCAAAAGTGCGCATTCACGATCCCTCACGCAGGACTTAAACCCAGGACCTTGATCTCGCGCGTGAACTCTTAACTTTCCCATACCAATGAATGTATTGTTATTATTTAAAAACATTAATATTGGTACAAGGGAGCACCAGATATATATGCACTGCACAAATCTCATTTGATTTGTGTGAGGGCTATGATACTGCCCAGGTGCCCAAATTGAAGCAGGTACTGATATATGATAACTATTTATTTGAATAGATTATGTCAATTAACTCAATGTGGAAATGGTATTTGTCATGGATCGATATCAATCACTATCTCTTAATTTTAGACTCTACAAAAATCATACCCAAAAACCATTGAAATCTTTCAATCACCATGCTCTCCTTAGATCACCACTGAGTCAGTCAGTCACATTGTTGAACTTTGTACGTACGTTCATCAGTTCGATTTGCCATACCACATTAGCACAGAGATGCAATTGTCGATCCAAATACCATAGTGGTAGAAGTAGTAAGAGTATAAGCGGTAATCCGACAGATTAGGGTTTGAAGATGTTATTCAAGCAGTATAACCCAGTGAAATAAATTTGAAAAAAGAAAGGGACATGAAGAATTCAGGAGATTAGGATTTGGCAGAACACAAAGAGTGGATGCAACTTCACCGTTGCAAACGATTTTGAGCCATGTCATTTAAGGTCTCTAACCATCGGTTGCTATCATCTCGCGAATCCCAACCAGGTAGTCTACACCTACCAACATGGCTCAGTACACTTGTCAGTAACTTCATGGATTTGTGCCACGTTTTGGTCTGGCAAATAAAAGGACGTCAGAAGGATTAGTCATGGAGATAAGAGAGTTATTAGGTGTAGGAAAGATTTGAAAGCGACCAACTTGGTCTCGTGTACAGTTAAGGGTATGAGGGCTTATATCACTTCCCGGCTTCCCACACCGTCGAAGGATATTTCTTGAAGGACCTGAAAAAGAAGTTGGATTAGTGTTGGTCTTAACGACCTGAGAGCGTGACCGCAGTGCCCAAGGGACATCTGCTTGAGGCCGGTCACACACGGCCTTTTTGTGGGGGATTTTTGACGTGTTAGCTCCGTTCTTCAAAGGACCTTACCGCCGGAGACGGAAATCCGTGGGATAAGGCGAGGTGTGCATTTTTAGGGTCGACCTTTTCTAACCCCACCCCTCCTTGTAGGAAGGCAGCATCACTGCCATGCTGGTTGTCTGAAGGAAACACCTTACTGCCGTTACACCTCTGTACAGTCAGTAGTACGACTTCGCCTTCGGACTTTGGGATTGCTGCTTTTGGTCTTACCGCTCTTCAATCTACCTGTCTGGCATGGTAGGACCTTGAGGAATGATTGTCCCAACCAGTATAGCTTGATTGGATCATCACGATAGGCAAGCCCGACCACCACGTCAAGGTAGCAGCAACGGTTGGGAATCACCACTGAGTCTCAGAATTGTAAACATATATTACATTTTCATCTTTAAATAATACAATTCATTTACCTCATAGTAATCACCGTAATATTCTCTTCTCTTGCTATTTTTTCTTATCATTTCAGTCAGATAAATGGGGTGGAGGTATTGAAGTATCCATTTTATCACAATTATATAGAATTGAAATATGTATTGTAGATATTGAATCATGTCGAATTGATCGTTTTGGTGAAGATCAAAATTACCCTAAACGAATTTTATTGATTTATGATGGTATACATTATGATCCATTAGCACAAGAATGTCCAAATCGTGATTGCCTAGTGACTGTATTTTCGTCAAATAATGACTCAGTAAGTATCTGTGCATTTTATTCTGATCAGTGTACTTCAGTCAGTCAGTCAGTCAGTCACAACGTAGAACTTCGTACGTACGTACATCAGTTCGAGTTGCCATACCACATTAGCACAGAGATGCAGTTGTCGATTCAAATCCCATAGTGGTAGATGTAGTAGGAGTATAATCAGAAATCCAAAAGATTAGGGTTTGAAGAAATTATTGAAGGAGTATAGTACAGTGAAATAAATTTGGAAAGAGAAAAAGATACGGACATGAGGAATTCAGAAGATTAGAATTTGGTAGAACACAAAGAGTGGATGCACCTTCGCCATTGCAAACGATTTTGAGCCATGTCATTCAAGGTCTCTAACCATCGGTTGCTATCATCTCGCGAATTCCAACCAGGTAGTCTACACCTACCAACATGGCCCAGTCCACTTGTCAGTGACTTCATGGATTTGTGCCACGTTTTGGTCTGGCCACCCCTAGCTTTCTTCCAACCTACTCCTACACCATGAAACATTGCACGTTGGGGCAGTCGGTGGTCGGGCATACGTAACACATGTCCCAGACATCTCAACTGATGAAGTTTCACTACTTCATCAATCGATTTGCCATCCCTACCTAGTACTCGTTTCCTAACAACTGCATTACTTACCCGGTGGTCCCAGGATATACGAACAATGCTTCGAAGACACCTATGATCGAACACTAGTAGCCTACGAATATCCTCTACTCTTATAGGCCATGTTTCACTGCCATAAAGTAGGACGGAGCGAACTGCTGCACAGTAAATCCGTCCTTTGGTTGCTAGACGGATATCTCGCCTACGCCATAAATGACGCAAGTTGGCGAAAGCTAGACGAGCCTTCTGTATCCGTGCTGAGATTTCGTCAAACACCAGACCACAAGGGCTGATGAGACTTTCAAGATAAGTGAAGCGGTCTACACGCTCAACTACTTCACTCCCTATCATTAGTTCAGGTGTCGCTGCAACCCAATCCTGAAGTAACATTTTGCACTTCGAGGGAGAGAATCGCATCCCGAACATGCCTGCATTGTTGCTTATAGTGGTCAGAAGACTCAGCATTTTGTCAGCGTCTTCACCGAGTAAAACTATGTCGTCGGCGTATTCTAAGTCAACAAGTGATCCTCCTGGTAAAAGTTCAACTCCAGGAGATTGAGATGATGAAAGTGCTATCTCTAAAAGTATGTCAATGACAAAGTTAAACAAGAATGGGGAGAGTGGACAGCCCTGACGAACGCCACTTGTGGTAATCAGTTCTGATGACAGTTCGCCATAGGCTCTAACTCGACCAGTTGTGTTCGAGTAGAGAGCCTTTATGAGGTTAATGTACTTCTTTGGTACTCCTTTCAGTGACAAACATTGCCATAGAACATCACGATCAATGGAGTCAAATGCCGCCTTAAGGTCAAGAAATACTACTATTGTGGGACGTCTGAATTTGTATCTATGTTCTAGAACCTGACGTAGGGTGAATATCTGGTCTATGCAACCACGTCCAGGTCGAAAACCAGCCTGGTTTTCTCTAGTCTGCTCTTCACGAGCTTTGGTTAGGCGACCTAGTATTATTGAAGCTAATATTTTAGACACTATGTTAGTCAAACTGATCCCTCTGTGATTGTCACAGGAGGACTTTTGTCCTTTCTTATAGACTGGCACAATCAGTGATTGGGACCAGTCAGATGGAATTACGTCCAGTTCCCAGTTTCCCGACCGTTGCTGCTACGTGGTGGTCGGGCTTGCCTATCGTGATGATCCAATCGAGCTATGCTGGCTGGAACAATCGTTCCTCAAGGTCCTACCATGCCAGACAGATCGGTTGAAGAGCGGTGAGACTAAAAGCAGTAATCCCAAGGTCCGAAGGCGAAGTCGTACTGCTGACTGTACAGAAGTGTGAAAGCAGTAAGGTGTTTCCTTCAGACAACCAGCATGGCAGTGATGCTGCCTTCCTACAAGGAGGGGTGGGGTTAGAAAAGGTCGACCCTAAAAATGCACACCTCGCCTTATCCCACGGATTTCCGTCTCCGGCGGTAAGGTCCTTTGAAGAACGGAGCTAAGACGTCAAAAATCCCCCACAAAAAGGCCGTGTGTGACCGGCCTCAAGCAGATGTCCCTTGGGCACTGCGGTCACGCTCTCAGGTCGTTAAGACCAACACTAATCCAACTTCTTTTTCAGGTCCTTCAAGAAATATCCTTCGACGGTGTGGGAAGCCGGGAAGTGATATAAGCCCTCATACCCTTAACTGTACACGAGACCAAGTTGGTCGCTTTCAAATCCTTCCTACACCTAATAACTCTGATCAGTGTACTTACTTACTTTCATTTCTTTTCTCTTAGTAATCTTGTCAGAAATGTTTTATCTGTGAGCTGACATACTCTCGGTGTTGATGCAAAATATCCATTTGGATTATGTTAAATTCCATTGTTTATGACATAGTAGATATCTCCGTTTGCTTGTTAGAAATCAAGTATATTACATAGCAATTTGTCTTGTATTATTTTATGAGACTGAAGCATGACTTGTAAAGGCAGCAGATATATGAGCTCATCAATTGCTAATATTCTATCAGAATAGTCTCTGCAGCATTACTTCTGTATAGTAGAACTAATAAATGGGTAATGTTGAAGTTACATAGGAATGATTAATTCATTTATAAGTTTTTAAAATGTTATCTTCTCAAATAGTTAAAATAAGTCTTACACGTTTCCACCCGCCAACCTACTCGATTATCATATGACTCTGTGGAGTACAGGTATCTGTAGTTGGCTTCAATTCATAACGTTTAGGAATGTCGATTGGTGACACTACTCACCGTTGCCTAAAGCGGAATAAAGATGATAGTACAATCAGGTTTCAAGTCAGTGATTTTACATTAGATGTTTTCCCCAGCACTAAACCATCACTTAACAACATACCGATCTGGTTACAATGTTGACCACTAGCCATATGTGACCCAATATGGCGTTAAACTTTTTGTTAATGTTAGATAGCTGAAAAGAAGGTAATCGATAAGTGAAAACATGAATTTGATATGCTTGATGCTATTACGAGTTCACCTTACTCGGTAAACAGAACGAAGGTCAATGATACAGTGACACTGTGGTGTTGTCTACTTATATCTATATAAGTAGTATATGGTGTTGGTCAGACATAGAATGTATTTTGGCAGAAAACCGATGACGAAAGAACTGAAATGAAGCGGAATCGCTTGGAAAATGCATGAGCAATGGAATAAGAGAAGAAACAGTGAAGATTGAAACAATTGGTTGTTAATTTGCAAATTGACTGTTCATTGTTTGGTAATCAGAATTTACTGAGATAGTCTGTAATGTTTGCTTAAATACATTCGATTGTCCCCAACCAGTGTTCTGTTCACTACAACACGATAGGCTATTCTAATCCGTTGTCCCCAGCCCTGCTAACTGGATCGAGAAGTGTTGATGAGGCATAGGAAATGTATTCTACAATCACCCAGGGAATACGAGGTTACTGAGCACATAAATCAAGCTTATTTATAGATTGATAGAAACGCCCTTGGGAGAGCCGCAAAATAGCATACTAAAAGAATCCGTCAAGCAATGGCAGTCAAGGATTCCCGAATGGGAAATGTAAGATGTAGATCAACTAAGCGTCTCTGGGTGCGAAAACATAAAATTTAAATTTTCGGAATAAAATTACGAAATTAGGACCTTTTCCAAGTGAGTTCTGAGGACCCAACATCCTCAAGAGAATTATACTTGATAGTTAGCTATTAATTCCATTGGATAGTGAATAAATGCCTTATTGTTGTCATATCCTCCTACCATCTACTTGTTAAATATCTTTTAATCATATTTATTTCCATGTTCGGTGATTTTTATACAAACGTGTTACAGTGTGAGGACAAAAATCTATTCTACTGTGTGCTACATCTTTTGCCTTTAATCTTAAGTTGTTTGCTGAAGTGGCTTACATCGGTAGTCCAATCGTATGAACAGCTATCACACTTGTCCACAAATCGTATTACTGCATATCATCTCTCAATTGACATTCTATCCATTGCTTGATCAAATCAAGGAAATTCTACTCTATAACAGTGAAGAAAACCTTCTCCCATTTGACGCTAATTGACAACACTCTTTAACACAAATTGTATCCATTATTTTGATTGTTTTTCTTTTCTATTTTACTAAAAATCAATAAAGCAATGATGAACTAATATTTTTTCTCTTATTGTTATTTTGTATATAGATTCTTTTTGAAGCTCAACAATTAGCATCAAAAGCTCGTGCTGAATGGGCATTCACTGATCTTTCATCATTTACATTACTTTGTCGACAATGTGATGCACCATTAGTAGGTCAAGAAGCTGCACAAAAACATGCTCAATTAACAGGTCATACACAATTTAGAGAAATTACACATTAAACATATCGATTTGACCGGGTATATATATATTCCAACTAATCATTGTTACATATCTAGACGATTGCTTTTGTTCTTCTTCTTCTTCTTCTTCTTCTTCTTCTTCTTTATATTCATGATACTTGATAGGTATTGTAAAAACGATTACAAATTGAATGTAAACTTGTTTATGTTTTTTTTTTAGGGGGGAGGGAGTGGAAAAGGGGTGGTATATTTTCTTTTTTTACTAATTTAATTATATTTATTTATATTGCTCAATGTATTCATTATAGTTTTCTCTTTATGTATTATTATTATGTTAATCAACTATCAATGTAGTACCAAGCCAATCGATTCAATATGTTATATCTCATTTAAATTATTATTATAAACCTTGTTAATGTTTATTTATTTTTTTTTATTGTAAAAAAATTATAGAAAATTAATTAAGTGTTTTGTAGAAATGTATAATTTCATTTATTTATTAATCTCTTTGTCAATTATTATACTTCAATACACACTACGCCGGGAAATAGAAGCCGATATGAAAAGGATGAATAGCAACTGGAAAGAACTGGAAAGGAAGGCTCAGGACAGAGTTGGATGGAGAATGCTGGTGAGCGGCCTATGCTCCTCGACGAGGGGTAACAAGCGTAAGTAAGTAAGTAGTATACTTCAATACTATGACAATACAATCAAGAATGTAAATGTTCATATGTATACTCACTTGCATACATATAAATTTGTTTTCTCCTTTAGACTCTTTTGTTGTTGTTGTTGTTGTTGTTGTTGTTGTTGTTGTTGTTGTTGTTGTTGTTTTATGGCTATATTGTATACATCTGAATAATCTTTTTCATTTTAATTTGTTAATTCATTTATTGCTTCTTTTTTCTTTCTTTGTTTACTGAATAAATGGAATAAAATTCAAATTTTTTTTGTTTTCAATATACTTTGGATTATTTTCATTTCATTACTACTGATCTAATGATTATAATACATAATATCAGTCAGTCAGTCAGTCAGCTACAATGTAGAACCAGGCACATTTATGTATCAGTCCAAGTTGTCATACCTTGTTAGCACAACAAGATAAACACTGAATTCATAAAAGTAGTTAATTTAATGGTGGTAATATATAAAAGATAGGTTGTATATAAGGATATAGTATAGGAAGGAAGAATGTCATGAAGCAATTTTAATCTCAAGGTTTAAGGGAAGACGAAGATTGAATACACTTACGCCAATGTAATCGATTCTCAGCCATGTCACACAGAGTCTCCAACCATTAGTTACGATATTCACGTGGACCACAATCAAGTAGTCTGTATCTGCAAACATGGCTCAGACTAGAAGTTGGTGACTTTAAGCTCTGATGCCACGTTTTGGTTTGGCCGCCCCTAACTATCTTCCAACCATCCCCAACACTAGTCAACATAGCACGTCGTGGTAATCGGCTTTCAGGCATACGTAACACGTGGCCTAACCATCTCAGTCGATGAAGATTTATGACCTCATCAATTGATTTACCATCATTCCCTAATACCCTGCGTCTAACCTCACTATTACTTACCCGGTTATCCCAGCAGATGCGAGCGATATTTCTAAGACATCTGTGGTCAGATACTAGTAAATTACGAGTATCTTCTACTCTTAATAGCCATGTTTCACAGCCGTGAAGTAGAACAGAGCAAACTGCTGCGCAGTATACTCGTTGAAATTGGTTACAATGGTACCAATGTGTTCTATGTATATGTACCTTGTGAGCTTGAAATGAATAGCTGACTAGTTTCATCTTGCTTCTGGATAGTTGGATATACCTACATCGTAGCTAGTGTTCTGTGATAAATGCTAGAGATTATAGTGGTAATGTTTAGCTTGTTAATCTAAAGGTCACCTCAAAGACTAGAAATCTATGTTTTGACTTCTAGTGTGGTTATGGATGCTCACCTCCGTGGAGTCACATATCAAGATAAAATAGCTGTTCAATGCTTCTTAATATCTGAGATTCTATACAAATAGGTAACGTACAGAGGTTGATCAGTCTGATCTCAAATATCTAGTTGACCATAACTAGGTAATCAATCACTTGTTTACTTCATGTGTTGTTTCCGTAGATTTTTTTTAAGAAAAAGGGTTGTAATATCGGAAATTAATTCATTGATGATGAATGCCTTTATAAAAAATGAGACTGACCTTAAACAGGGAATCACATACCAGGAAAGTTAGATGTTTTATGTATTTTGCCCCCAAATGCCCTGGTACGGCCGAGAGTGGGGAGAGTCCGCTCTTCCTCTCCAAATGCTCTTACATGGCCTCACGTATACTGCCTCTGTCAGGGAAGTCCTACACACTGCCTTCTCGCGACTACTGTTGTTTACTAAATTGAGAGAAGGAAAACGAATGTCCAGCGCTTTAACCACTTCGATGGAAACGGAAAGTCCACCTCGGGGAGTTGGAAAACCCTGATTTCAATCCAATGGTGCACATGAGCTCCAGTATCCTGAGGGAACAAATAGCGTACGAATCAATCATTGCTCACCGACTACCATGGGAATGCATCTCCTTACGATGATCCACTGCCTTATGGATCAGACTTTTAGGTCAAAGGCTCCGGGTGTGGTCCCCTAAGAGAACCACCTGCTTCAGTTTGGGCACCTGGGCAATATCATAGCCCTCACACAAATCAAATGAGATTTGTGCGGCGCATATTTATCTGGTACTTCCTTGCACCAATATTAATGTGCTTAAATAAATAATAATAATTGATTCCCTTTCTTTCTAGATCGGACCAAGCATCTATTTGATGCAGTTACCGATAACTATCATCTAGTTTTGAAGACTAAATCAAACGCTTCAGATGTGGAAAACTCATTCTTAGCATATCTTTATTGAATACAAGAGAGTATTCTGACAGTAACTTTGCATTGAATTATTGGGACACGCGGCGACAAGTATACACCTGCATTAATAAAATTAGTTTGAAAAGATTTACTGGTAATCCGATAGCTCATTTTTATAACGTGTGCCTGAGTGCCCTGTTTACATATGACGTGACGAAGTAAATGATTTTATCGAAAACAAAATTTTCTTCGTAGCATTCGCTTTATTCTACTTTCACATGAACAAATAATATCTTCCATTAGTATTTACCTGCTTACGTCTGTTATCCCTCGTGAAGGAGCATAGGCGGACCACGAGCATTCTACGTCCAACTCTGTCCTGAACAATCCTTTCCAGTTGATATTCATTCATTACATGTTTGCTTCCAATCCTCGGCATAGTGTGTTTTTTAACCATCCATGTTTCCGATTCACTACACGATTCCAAGTAAGCGCTTGCTTCGTGATGCAGTTTGATGATTTTTCAGATGTGTATTCTATCCACTTTCAACGTCTTTTCCTAATTTTTCCTTCATTTAGAAGCTGGTTTGTTAAATTAATTATCCTAATAAAGGTAGAAGTCTAAAGAATAAATCCAGTTTGAAAGTTAGTTCACATTAAAATATGAATTTAGTATGGAAATTAGATAAAACATTTAGTTCGCCCCATTTCATAACTTCTTTTCAGAGCTTACTCACATCTCCACTAGTAATAGAACCAAGAATCTTCTACGGATCAAATTATTGCCCCTTTGTGCTGACTCATTTGTTTATAATATAAAGCTCACAGTAGAAAGTCTTTAGGCTGCGAGTGTGCATTCCATGATATCATCATGACATTACCTTTTACTAGAATCTTGATTGACGTGACCCGTGTGCCCTGAATTAACTTATAATGTATATGTATACATTATAAGTTAATTCAGGGCACAAACGATAGTGGATTAATAGACTTCATAACAATTCTTCATTTAAGTTTTGTCTACTTAAATTATTTATCAGTAGCTTATATAAAACATTAGCTTTTTAAGTGGTTCCGCGAAGTCTTACTCTACTACGATCATATTTGTAAAACTGAAGAATACATACGAATCTATGCTCCCTAATAGTAATTGGGTAAGTTTTTCTATACATGAAAAAAATTAGATTCACTAAAACCAATTCGAGCAGATATGTTACTTTCTTCCTTTTTAATATAAGTACTTCTTTATACTTATATATATCTTATTGAAATCATGAACACATCCAAGGTAGATCACAGTCGTAAACCTGGAAACACTAAACTTTCGTTTGTTACTAGTGTGGGAATCCTCAGCAATGCACATTCAGGTTTCCAATGACGGTGTAAGTTAAGTCAGTTCATGGTTTCAATGAAATTATATATTCTCCATAAGTACATACGTAAAGTTATATATATCTGAAGGGGTTTTTGTGGATATTATAGTAATTTTAATAGTTGAGACCATAAGTCAATTGAATCTACACCACAATGGAAAACTGGGAAGCACTGTGAGACCGTTTCGTTCTAATTTGGGACCCCTCAGCAGTGGGCATTCACCATCCCGCCTCAAGAGATTCCAACACGGGACCTATCCGGTTCGCGAGCGCTTAACCTCTGGACCACTGAGCTGACGGACAAGCAATTGAGCGACACATCCACCAATGTCTTCTGTGAATTACTATCTCACAACAGACATGGTTGAACTCCACTGATCACTACTTCTTACTAGAACTCCAGGAAATACCTCTTAAAAGCAGTCACTAGTGAGCGTATTTTGATGAATATCAGAAGGAGTTTTTTGTGGATATTATAGTACTTTCAATAGTTGAGATCATGAGTTAATTGAAGATAGACGCCCATGCGCTAGACTGATAGGTCCTGTGTTGGAATCTTGCGAGGTGCGATCGTGGATGCGTACTACTGAGGAGTCACACAAATAGGACGAAACGGCCATCCAGTGCTTCCAGGTTTCCTATGGTGATCTAGCTTCAATTGACTCATGATGTCGACTATTAAACTTATGTATATCTGTTAACTAAAAAGTTTACCTTTCAACTATATCCGTATTTTCTATTAACTAATTATGATTTCCATTGGTAAACGAGAAATATTTGCAAAGATCCGATTGTTTTAATTACAATTATA